TAAACTTAACCAAGGACGTTAAAGACCTCTACGATGAAAATTACAAAACCTTAAAGAAAGAAATAGAAGAGGATACCAAAAAATGAAAAACTCTTCTATGCTCATGGATTGGAAGAATCAGTATCATCAACATGTCCATTCTCCCAAAAGCAATTTACAGATTCAATGCAATCCCAATCAAGATACAGAAGACCTTCTTCTCAGATCTGGAAAAAATGATGCTGAAATTCATATGGAGGCACAAGAGAACTCGAATAGCTAAAGCAATCTTGTACAACAAAAACAAAGCTGGAGGCATCACAATACCAGATTTCAGGACATACTACAGGGCAGTTGTTATCAAAACAGCATGGTACTGGTACAGAAACAGATGGATAGACCAATGGAACAGAATAGAAACACCAGAAATCAATCCAAACATCTACAGCCAACTCATATTTGATCAAGGATCCAAAACCAATTCCTGGAGCAAGGACAGTCTATTCAATAAATGGTGCTAGGAAAACCGGATTTCCACATTCAGAATCATGCAGCAAGACCCCTACCTTTCACCTTACACAAAAATTCACGCAACATGGATTAAAGACTTAAATCTATGACCCAACACCATGAAATTACTAGAGAGCATTGGAAAAACCCTGCAAGATATACATACTGGCAAAGATCTTGGAAAATACCCCAGAAGCACAGGCAGTCAAAACCAAAATTGACTGTTGGTATTGCATCAAATTGAGAAGTTTCTGTACTGCAAAAGAAACAGTCACAAAAGTGAAGAGGCAACCGACAGAATGGGAAAAAATATTTGCAAACTATGCAACAGATAAAGGGTTGATATCCAGAATCTACAAAAAAATCAAGAAACTCCACAAAAACAAAACCAACAACCCACTTAAGAGATGGGCAAAGGACCTCAATAGACATTTTTCAAAAGAGGATATCCAAATGGCCAACAGGCACATGAAAAAATGTTCAAGGTCACTAGCAATCAGGGAAATGCAAATCAAAACCACAATGAGGTTTCACCTCACCCCAGTGAGAATGGCTCACATACAGAAATCTACCAACAACAGATGCTGGCGAGGATGTGGGGAAAAAGGGACACTAACCCACTGTTGGTGGGAATGCAAACTGGTCAAGCCACTATGGAATTCAGTCTGGAGATCCCTCAGAAACCTGAAGATAACCCTACCGTTCGACCCAGCCATCCCACTCCTTGGAATTTACCCAAAGGAAATGAAATTGGCAAACAAAAAAGCTGTCTGCACATTAATGTTTATTGCAGCTCAATTCACAATAGCCAAGACCTGGAACCAACCTAAATGCCCATCAACGGTAGACTGGATAAAGAAATTATGGGATATGTACTCTTTAGAATACTATACCGCAGTAAGAAACAACGAAATCCAGTCAGTTGCAACAAAATGTAGGAATCTGGAACACATCATGCTGAGTGACTAAGCCAGTCCCAAAGGGACAAATACCATATGTTCTCCCTGATCGGTGACAACTGACTGAACACCAAAAAGGAAACCTGTTGTAGTGAAATGGACACTATGAAAAACGGTGACTTGATCAGCATAGCCCAGAATGTTAATGAACAACTTAATATGTTATCCCTCTTAGTATTTTTTGTCTGTTCTTCTTAATACTACTGGTTTAATTCTGTAATTAATACACAGTTATTCTTAAGTGTTGAAATTTAACTGAAATGTGATCCCTGTTAAACATAAGAGTGGGAATAAGAGAGGGAAGAGATGTACAATTTGGGACATGCTCAAGCTGAATTACCTCAAACGGTAGAGTTAGAAACATACGAGGGGACTCCAAATCAATCCCATCAAGGTGGCATGTACCAATGCCTTCTCACTAGTCCAAGTGATCAATTTCAGTTCACAATTGATCATAATGAAAGGACTAAGAGTCAAAGGGAGCACATAAACAAGTCCAGTACCTGCTAATACTAACCGATAGAATAAATAAAGGGGAGAGTGATCCAACAAGGGAAGCAAGATAACTCAGCAGACTCATAGAATGGCGGATGTACTAAACAGCACTCTGGCCTCAGAATCAGCCCTAAAGGAATTCCCATCTGGCTGAAAAGCCCATGAGAGTATTTCAGGCATGGAAAGCCAAGACACTCTGGCAAAAAAAAAAAACCACCTAAATGAAAGATCTCTGGGAGTGAGATCCCAGTGGAAAGAACAGGTCTTCAAAGAAGGAGGTACCTTTCTCTGAAGGGAGGAGAGAACCTCCACTTTGACTATGACCTTGACTAAAAACAAGATAAGAGTCAGAGAACTCAAGGGGCTTCCATAGCCTTGGAAACTCATGACTGGAGCATGGGGAGATTACTGATGCCATAGACAGGATTGTCAATTTGTAAAGTCAACAACAGGAGTCACTGTGCACTTACTCCTCATGTAGGATCGCTGTCCTTAGCGTGTTGTACATTGAGACTTAATGCTATAACAAGTACTCAAACAGTATATTTCACTTTGTGTTTCTATGGGGGTGCAAACTGTTAAAAGCTTTACTTAATGTATACTAAACTGATCGTCTGTAAAAAAAAAAATAAGAAGAAGAAGAAATTATCAATTCCCAACTTGACTCTCACTGGGATTAAACATGGCAATAGGTCTGATCTGATTTCATCATCATTTAAAAAATCATCTATTATTTTTCACTTTATGATTCTGTGTGGGAGCAAACTGTTGAAATCTTTACTTAATGTATGCTAAACTGCTCTTCTGTAGATAAAGAGAATCGAAAATGAATCTTGATGTGAATGGAAGGGGAGAGGGAGTGGGAGATGGGAGGGTTGCGGTGGGAGGGACGTTATGGGGGGGAAGCCATTGTAATCCATAAGCCGTACTTTGGAAATTTATATTCATTAAATAAAAGTTTAAAAAAGTTATGGGATATGTACTCTATAGAATACTAGACAGCAGTCAAAAACAACGAAACCCGGTCATTTGCAGCAAGATGGAGGAATTTGGAAAACATCATGCTTAGTGTTTAAGCCAGTCCCAAAGAGAGAAATACTATATGTTCTCCCTGATCGGCGAAAAACTAACTGAGCACCAAAGGGGAAACTTGTTGAAGTGAAATGAACACTATGAGAAATGGTGACTTGGTCAGCCCTTGCCCTGACTGTTGATGAACAACTTAATACGTTATCCCTCTTAGTTTTTTTCTGTTTGTTCTACTTAATACTTTTGGTTGAATACGGTAATCAATACACAGTTATTTTCAAGTGTTGAAACTTAACTGAAAAGTGATCACTGTTAAATATAAGAGTGGGAATAAGAGAGGGAAGAGATGTGCAATTCGGGACATGCTCAAGCTGACTTACCGCAAACGGTAGAGTTAGAAACATACCAGGGGATTCCAATTCAATCCCATCAAGGTGGCAGGTATCAATGCCATCTCGCTAGTCCAGGTGATCAATTTCTGTTCTGTTCACAATTGATCATAATGATAGGACTAAGTACAAAGGGAGCACATAAACAAGACTAGTGTCTGCTAATACTAGCTGATAGAATAAAAAAGGGAGAGAACTATCCAATATGGGAAGTGAGATACACAGCAGACCCATAGAATGGCAGATGTCCAAAACAGCACTCTGGCCTGAGAATCAGCCATTAAGGCATGTGATCTGGCTGAAAAGCCCATGAGAGTATTACAGCCATGAAAGCCAAAACACTCTGGCAAAAAAAAAAAAAAAAAAAAAAAACTAAATCAAATATCTCTGTGAGTGAGATCCAAGTGGAAAGAACAGGTCATCAAAGAAGGAGGTACCTTTCTCTGAAGGGAAGAGAGAACTTTCACTTTCACTATGACCTTGTCTAAATATGATCAGAGTTGGTGAACTCAAAAGGCTTCCATAGCCTTGGCAACTCATGACAAGAGCCTAGGGTGATTACTGATGCCATAAGCAAGGGTGTCACTGTGCACATACTCCTCATGTAGGATCTCTGTCCTTAATGTGCTGTACATTGTGATTTAATGCTATAACTAGTACTCAAACAGTATTTTTCACTTTGTGTTTCTATGTGGGTGCAAACTGTTGAAATCTTTACTTAAGGTATGCTAAACTGATCTTCTGTATATAAAGAGAATTGAAAATGAATCTTGATGTGAACAGAAGGGGCTAGGGAGAGGGAAAGGGGGTTGCACTTCAGAGGGAAGTTATGGGGGGGAAGCCATTGTAATCCATAAGCTGTACTTTGGAAATTTATATTCATTAAATAAAAGTTAAAAAAGGAATGCAATAATTATATAATGAAATATTTGCAATAGCTTTGTGCTTATCATGTGTGTATAAACATGTATTCGTTCAAGACTTCTAGACACCAACAGGAAGCCTAGGTGATTACACATCTTATATGTCTTAGAACATAATGTGTTCGGCCGGCGCCATGGCTCACTAGGCTAATCCTCTGCCTTGCGGCACTGGCACACCAGGTTCTAGTCCCGGTCGGGGTGCCGGATTCTGTCCTGGTTGCCCCTCTTCCAGGCCAGCTCTCTGCTGTGGCCAGGGAGTGCAGTGGAGGATGGCCCAAGTGCTTGGGCCCTGCACCTGCATGGGAGACCAGGAGAAGCACCTGGCTCCTGCCTTCGGATCAGCACGGTGCGGCCATTGGAGGGTGAACCAGCAGCAAAGGAAGACCTTTCTCTCTGTCTCTCTCTCTCTCACTGTCCACTCTGCATGTCAAAAAATTAAAAAAGAAGAATATAATGTGTTCTACCTGCAAATCAGAGAAGAATACTGTCTTATCTAGCACTTTCAGATATATTTTAGAAGGAATATCACAAGACAACAGCTTACACATAAAGAAGTAGCAGTAATAATCATGCATGGATATACTTAATGAATTTGAATAAGCTGGAATTGAGAACAACGGTGCAGTATGAAATCACTGCAAATCTCTTTGGTTTCTTTTTTATTGAGAAATAATTAGGACAGTAAAGCTGTCAATCTGAAATTTTGTATTTTCTACCTGTCTGATTGGAAACATCTCTCTCTGGACAAAAAACACAAGTATAGCAACAGACAGGTCTTCCTTCCTGTGACATTTTCCGAAATCCTGGACCACAGCTCTGGCTACACACAGATTGGGGAGTCTGAAGGAAAAAGAAAAGCATTGATCATGGTTTTCCATATTATCAGCCATTATAATGGGTGTCAATACTTCCCTCCTTACAGCATAACACTGACCTTCAACTGAAGGCCATGACTATGACATTTAATGCAGGTTTCTATGATCATCACTCCCACCTCATCGTTTCTTTATCAAGTATTACAAAAATACCTTATCAGTTTTATTTCATATAATATCAGTTAGATCCCTTGGGCATTGTCATACGTATCAACTCACTTTATCTAAAATCTTTAAAATGCATTATTCTATGTGGTAAAGGAATATGGGAATAGTAACTGCAAGAAGATGAATAAGTCAACCCATTATGTACTTCTACCTATCATGCATGAAAATATAACAAGGGCAGGGCTGGCGCTGTGGCTGAATAGGCTAATCCTCCACATAACGGAGCTGGCACACTGGGTTCTAGTCCTGGTTGGGGTGCCGGATTCTGTCCCAGTTGCCCCTCTTCCAGGCCAGCTCTCTGCTGTGGCCAGGGAGTGCAGTGGAGGATGGCCCAAGTGCTTGGGCCCTGCACCCCATGGGAGACCAGGAGAAGCACCTGGCTCCTGCCTTCGGATCAGCCCAGTGCACTGGCCACAGTGGCCATTGGAGGATGAACCAACGGCAAAGGAAGACCTTTCTCTGTCTCTCTCTCACTGTCCACTCTGCCTGTTTATATATATATATATATATATATAAAACAAGGGGGGCCAGTCTTGTGGTGTAGCAGATTAAATCACCTCCTGCTGCACTAGCATCCCATATGGGCACCATTTCTAATCCCAGCTGCTCCACTTCCAATCCACCTCCCTGCTAACATGCCTTGGAAAGCAGCAGAGAATGGACCAAGTGTTTGGACCCCTGACCCACATGAGTGACCCAGAAGAGGTCCCTGGCTCTTGACTTTGGACCTGCCCAGCCCTGCCTGTTGTCCATTTGGGGAATAAACCAGCAGACAGAAGAGATCTCCCCCCACTTCTCTCCTCTCTAACTCTGCCATTCAAATAAAAAATTTTAAAAAATTAAAAAAAGAAAGACTGTGACTTATGAGATTAAAAAGTTGAGATTATATACAGAGATATATTAAAGATCTATATATCTATACCTGGGTCTCTGCCTCTATTCATTAACTTTGTCTAGTTTTAACTCAACTGCTACACCAATAATTATGACAAAACTGAAAAGGTAAGGCTATGCACTCATGCTCTTCTGATAGGTGTTAGCTCAGGATATGTGTAAGGAACACCATCAGTTAAGTGCCAAGATGGGAAATGGGAATCACATGGTCACTTCACACTTAATCTCCCAAGGCTCTACTCAGATTTCTAGTCAGATCTCTCTGTAGTAGTTATCCAATATAAAAAGAAAACTGCACCTTTTTGAATCCAACAGGCCATTCTATAATGTCTTCATTGATCAGCAAATCTTGGTCATGTGGACTCTTAGAGGAAAATTCTCCAATTTTAACCAGCAACCGAAATCCAGCAGGAAAATTTACAATGTTCTGAATATCATAATGTACCACATGGTGTCTTGTTTCATGGAAAGACACATCATCTCCAGCACGGTTTGTAAACTGGATTTTCCTCAGGATTGGATGAAGCTGGAGAACAGGAATAAGTGGAAACAGGGAGACCTTTCAAATTAGAGGGAGATGTATATGCACTGAACAAGCATTTTCTACCCTCCTCTCTATGTTCCAGGTTTAATTCTTTGGATGGTCAACAACTTCTAGTGAAGAGAACATTTGTTCCCCGCCCCCCAAATATAAAAGTAGAATGGTTGTATCCAGTCAGAAAAATTGTAGTTTGTGGGGTTCAGAGGGGAACTATTGCAAGGCTCTGCTGCAGCCAGAAGGTTTAGGTGGGGCTTTATGGAAGCTAACCCTAATATAACCAATTGAGTACAACATGGTTGGTCTTTTAAATACCTTGACAGTTGTGATATGTCACAGATATGTGCATACACAGGGCCTTCATAAGGTTCAAAAATAGAATGAAATATCAGTTATTTTGATTGAAAAATTAGATATCTATGCATGCTAATTTCATCATATACATTTTCCATGAACTGACTCAAGACCCCTCTTAGCACTGAGATCCATATTTATAAAAATGTGCGCATGTCCTCTATATATGCAACGATACATAGATATATGTATTTATATCTTAACAGAGTTTGAAATAATACATGAGTGTCTTTTCTCTAAATATTTTGGGTCACTTTTTATGGTAAGTGTGGTTATCTTTGACATTGCAGGTAGGACTGTATGGCCAAAAACAAAATTTAAAATATACTGATGGTCCTGAGGTTACTGATAGTATATGTTAACCCTTGACATTCTGGGTACAACACACCTGCTGCAGGATAAAACTAAGTTTTTATATTTAAATAGCTATCAATTAATTCTTAAATAATTTTCAGAAGATTTCCAAATAATCCATAGTTATTTCTGTGGAAGAATTCTTCATAATTCTGTTTACTTTTCTAAAGTGTGAATCTAATCACAAATAAAAATAAAACACTCAGCCGGCGCCATGGCTCAATAGGCTAATCCTCCACCTTGTAGCGCCAGCACACCTTTCTCTCTCTCTCTCTCTCTCTCTCTCTCTCTCTCTCACTTTCCACTCTGCCTGTCAAAAAAATAAAAAGTAAAATAAAAAATAAAACACTCCTATAAGTAAAATAGAAGATAGATTATGAAGTGAACTTTCTGATGTTAATTTTTACAGATACATATTTGTCTTCTACATAACACACCTATTTGTTCAACAAATTTATTCATCTATTTGTACTTTTCACATGCAAACAGAACTTCCTAAATATATTCTATATATGGGGAAAGAGTAGATTCAAACAAGCTGTGATGAAAATCCAGGCAAAACCATCTGTAACCCAGAAGGCATATCCTGTGCTAACATGCATCCTCAGTAGTCTCGTATATAAGAAATATGACCACAATTTCTGCTCCTTCATTCTTGCAGATTTTGTAACACACTGTATTTCTCAGAGTCATCTTAAAGGGAGTCTTAGACCCCAATACAATAGTACTTGGGGAATTCAATACTCCACTCTCAGAAATAGACACATCAACAGGACAGAAGATCAACCAGGATACAGTAGATTTAAATGACACTATAGCCCAAATGGATCTAACAGATATATACAGAACTTTCAAGCCTACAGCTGAAGATTTTACATTCTTCTCAGCAGTGCATGGAACCTTCTCTAGGATATTATGTAGAACTCATTTCTACTTTCAAAAAATGTATCTCCTAAGCACATAGGCCACAGTGTATACAGAAATACAAATGTAATAACTACTATCCAATATGGCCATATATTCTGGTTTTTGCATAATTTCAAAAAATTTGACCCATTTGTTTATCTTTGTTTTCTCATGACTTGCATTCGAATTCTTGAAGCACTTTGTCCTGCGTAACATATCAGATGAAGTTCAATAGAAATCCCTGAAAAAGTAAGTCAACAAACAGAAGAGAATAAATGTAATGGGCTCTTAACTCCAGAAATCAATCCATGCATCCACAACCAACTTATATTTGACAAAGGAACTAAAATAAATCCCTGAAGAAGGCACAATCTCCTCAACAAATTGTGCTGGGGAAACTGGATCTCCACTTACAGAAGTGTAAAATTAGACCCATACCTTACAACGTACACAAAAACACACTCAAAATGGATCAAAGGCCTAAATCTATGACCCAATACCATCAAATTACGAGAGAACATTGGGGAAATTCTGCAAGACTTCGGCATAGGCAAAGACTCTTGAAAAGACCCCAGAAGCACAGGCAATCAAAGCCAAGATTAACAAATGAGATTACATCAAGCCGAAAAGCTACTGCACCACAAAGGAAACACTCAGCAAAATGGAGAGGCTATCAACAGATGGGAGAAAGTATTTGCAAACTATGCAACTGATAAGGGGTTAACATGCAGTATCTATAAAGAGCTTAAGAAATTCAACAACAAAAAATACAACCCCATTAAGAAAGAAATGGGCAAAGGACTTGAATAGGTATTTTTCAAAAGAGGAAAATCAAATTGCCAACAGACACTTAAAAATATGCTCAGGATCACTAGCCATCAGGGAAATGCCAATCAAAACCACAATGAGGTTTCACTTCACTCCTGTTAGAATGGCTCTCTTAAGAAATCCACCAGCAACAAAATCTGTAATTAAAATTAGAGAAGAAATCAACAAATTTGAATCTAAAAAACATTACCAAATATCGGCAATACGAAGAGGTACTTTTAAAAAAATAAACAAAATTGACAAACCATTGACCCAACTAACCAAAAAAAGGAGAGAGAAGACCGAAATCAATAAAAATAGAGATGAAAAAGGGAAATTTAACAACAGACACCACAGAAATTCAAAGAGGTAGCGGAAATTACTTCAAAGAGTTGTATGCCAACAAATTGGGAAATCTAGCAGAAATGGATAGATTCCTGGACACCTAAGACCTACCTTGAACCATGAAGATATAGAAAACCTAAACAGACACATAATCAAGACAGAAATTGAATCAGTAATAAAGGCCCTCACAACAAAGAAAAGCATTCACTGCTGAATTCTACCTGAAATGTAAAGAACCAACTCCAATCCTTCTCAAGCTATTCAAAACAATTGAAACAGAGGGATCCTCCCAAATTCTTTCTATGAAGCCAGCATCACCTTAATTCCTAAACTTAAACATGATGCAACATTGAAAGAGAATTACAGAACAATTACCCTGATGGACATGGACACAAAAATCCTCAATAAGATTCTAGCCAATAGAATGCAACACCACATCAGAAATATCATCCACCCAGACCACCTGGGATTTATCTTTGGTATGTAGGGATGGTTCAGCATTCACAAATCAAACAATGTGATATACCACATTAACAACCTGCAGAAGAAAACCATATGATTATCTCAATAGATGCAGAGAAAGCATTTGAAAAAATATGAAACCCTATCATGATGAAAAACTCTAAGTAAACCGTGTATAGAAGGAACACTCCTCAACACAACAAAGGAAATTTATGACAAACACACGGCCAGCATTCTACTCAGTGGAGAAAAGTTGCAAGCATTCCCACTGAAATCCAGTACCAGACAGGGATGCCCATTCTCATCATTGCTATTTCATACAGTACTAGAAGTTTTAACCAGAGCCATTAGGCAAAAAAAGAAAAGAAATCAAGGGGATACAAATTGGGAAGGAAGAAGTCAAACTATCCCTCTTTGCAGATGATATGATTCTTTATTTAGAGGATCCAAAGAACTCTACTAAGAGATTATTGGAACTCATAGAAGAGTTTCTCAAAGTTCCAGGATATAAAATCAATGTACAAAAATCAATAGCCTTTGTATACACAGGCAATGCCACAGCTAAGAAAGAACTTCTAAGATCAATACCACTCACAATAGCTAAAAAAAAATCAAATATCTTGGAGTAAACTTAACCAAGGATGTCAAAGAACGCTATGATGAGAATTACAAAACTTTACAGAAATAGAAGAAGATACCAAAAAATGAAGAAATTTTACATGGTTGTGGATTGGAATCATCAATATCATCAAAATGGCCATTCTTCCAAAATCAATTTATAGATTCAATGTGATACCAATCAAAATATCAAAGATGTTCTTCTCAGATTTGGAAAAAAGAAATGCTGAAATTCATATGGAGGCATAGGAGACCTCGAATAGCCAAAGCAATCTTATACAACAAAAACAGAGCTAGAGGCATCCCAATAACAGATTCAAGACATACTACAGGGCAGTTATAATCAAAATCGCCTAGTACTGGTACAAAAACAGATGGATAGACCAATGGAACAGAACAGAAACACCTGAAATCAATCCAAACATCTATAACCAACTTCTATTTTATAAGATTTATTTAATTTATATGAAATGCAGAGTTACAGAGAGAGTCAGAGACAATAGAGAGAGGTCTTCCATCTGCTGGTTCACGCCCCAGATGGCCGCAACTCCTAGAGCAGCGCTGATCCGCAGCCAGGAGAAGGAGCTTCTTCCAGATCTCCAACAGAGAGGCAGAAGCCCAAAGACTTGAGCCATCTTCTACTGCTTTCCCAGGACATAGCAGAGAGCTGGATCAGAAGAGGAGCAGCTGAGACTAGAAACAGTGCCCATATGAGATGCCAGTGCTTCAGGCTAGGGCTTTAACCCACTGTGCCACAGCACCGGCCCCCCAACTTATTTTTGATCAAGGAGTTAAAACCAATTCCTGGAGCAAGAACAGTCTATTCAACAAATGGTGCTGCGGAAACTGAATTTCCACACTTTACACCTTACACAAAAATCCCTCCAACATGGATTAAAGATCTAAATTTATGACCTGACACCATCAAATTATTAGAGAACTTTGGAGAAAACCTGCAAGACGTAGGCACAGGCCAAGACTTCTTGGAAAAGACCCCAGAAGCACAGGAAGTCAAAGCCAAAATTAACAACTGGGATTACATCAAATTGAGAAGTTTATGTAATGCAAAAACAAAAAAGTCAGGAAACTGAAGAGGCAACCAACAGAATGGGAAAAAAATGTTTGCAAACTATGCAACTGATAAAGAATCAATAGCCAGAATCTACAAAGAGATA